ACAGCCCTGCGCGCTCTCGTTCCCCGTCGCCGCAGCGGGGCTTAGCGATCCACGGCGGCGTGTCAGGTTGCCCACGCCGCCCGGGTGCTGCGGCTTGTCCCGGGCGCCTTCACTCGCCTTCCCGGCCCTCGCCCCTCGTGCCGGGGTGGACACCCCTCGCCCTCCCGCTGCAGTGGCCACGGCCCCGCGGGTTGGGGCGCCGGCTCTTTGTCTCTCGCTGGAGGGCCGAGGAGGCGGCGGCGGGGACGGCGTGGGCGGAGGCCGGTGTCCCGGAGGACGAGCTTCACCGGGGCCGGGGACAGCGGGGCTCTGCCCTGTGCTGCTGGCCTTTGGACCGCTGGTAGCTGGACCCCCGACCCCATTATCAGCGAGTGTCTTGGCTCGGGGTTCTAGCCTGTCATCTCGTCTTGGCGTATGGTTCTGTGACACGGGGGCAGCCATCGCACCTCGGCGCAGGGACCGAGGACGGTGGCCGAGCTGAGGTGGCGGTCGGATCGGCGGGTCGAGCCATTGTCTCCGGGGGAGGCCCGGGAAGGACATCTGGGACCGCGGTGGCCCTGGGGAGAGGTGCAGGGCTGGGGCTCGCAGGCATGGCGTGGGTGGCGTGGACCTGGAGGCAGTGCCGGGTGGCTCGGGGTCCGCTCTGGCGAGCCGGGGTTGGCCGAGGAGGAGGCTAGCGCGGAGCCCGGCGAGCGGGAGGGGCGCGGGTGTGCGGCTCAGGGGGCGTGACGGGGCGTCCCGGGGACCCCGGTGACGGCGCCTCCTCCTGGCCCGGCCCGGCCCAGATCCCGCGCGAGCCGGGCTGGCGTCCGCGCGTCCCGTGTCCCCGCGTGCAGTCCGGTCTGTTGGTGCGTCCCGGAGGCGGCCGGGGGGACTGCAGCTCGGGGAGCACAGTCCCTGGCGGGCTAGGCTCGGGAGTGAGGAGGATGCAGACTCCGCGCTGGAGAGCTGGAGACAGAGGTCCAGGTCGGGTCCCGGAGAGGCAGGAGGGCCGGGGAGGGCGCGGGCGGCTGTTCGCTGGTCTCCCGGAGGACTGCTGGGAGAGCCTCGGGGCCTGGTGAGCGGCCTGCACCGGGGCGAGCGCGGGAGGTTGATGGCTCAGGCTCTCGGTGGCTTCTTTCAAAGTCAGTTCCCAAATTGGGTGAGATCAGGGCGGCAATCTGGGTCACTGGGAGCTAGCAATTGAAGCGACCAGCCTTGGGCGAGGCAGAAGTTAGTAGGGCCGTTAGATATCTGGTGTAGTTCTGTCTTCTTGATCTTTGTCTGGCTGGGTTATTTTTGATTCATCTTAACCGATTGGTTATGACTAGACGTGACACATTCCGTCTCTGTGGTGTCAGCTTGGGTTTAACACACTCCCCAGCACTCCATCTCCGGTGAGGTCCTTGGAGAAAGCGGAGGTTCAGAAAAACACCAACTCCTTCAAATGAAAGCTTTAACAGTTTTTGAATCTATGTTTTATTTTTGGTGTGTGACTGGCTGGGTAGAGCAGAACTGAGCCATGCTTCCTCCATGCCCAGAAGCTCTCGGGTTTTTTGTTTTTTGTTTTTTCTTTTTCTATCATCTGTCACAGAATAATAGATTTTGTGCAGAATTCAGCTTCTTGATCTTAGAAAGGTTCTTGTACCCTAGAAATGGATTTTTAATTAATTAATTAATTTATTTATTTTGGTACTGGTGATACTAGACTTTCTTAATGTCCTATGAACAGTTGAGGAATGGCTTATTTCCAAGATTCCCAAGACATGCTGGCCTTGATTGTCTCACCTTCCTCTGTTCCTGCTCTTATTTTTTTTCGTAGTCCTCGGTTGCCTGTTCAGTTTAGAGTTCCTGTCCAGGTAATGCCACTTCATTATTCCTTTATTTCACCCTCCAAAGTGACTAGACGAACTTCTCTTTTAGTTATTGACTCATAGTCAGGAGCCAGGGTAGATTTTTGGCTTGGCCTCAGAAGAACTATCCCATCCCAGGAGCAATGTGCACCCCTTTTAGAAGTTCTTTCTCCACTCTGCACAGCTCAGAATCGCTGCTCTAGGTCTTAGTGGTTGGCAACTGGGCCAATGGTGTCTAGTACAGGATGCAAAAGGGGCTGGTAAGTTTGGCATGGGCACTGTGGTTGTAAGGATGGTCTTGGCTGGGGACTTCATGGACTAGGGCAGTTAAGGTAGGAAACCCCAGGACAGAGTTGATTGAAGGTGAATGCTGAGCAGAATGAGTTGCCAGGTCCATCTGTCTTGTCTTTAAGATGTGCATACGGGGAAAATGTGTTCCCATTGACTGAGGAGGGCAGGTAGAGTGTGAACATTCTCCACGGTATCTGAGCCTGGCCCTGAGATTGCCAGCATGCCAGAGGAGACTAAGGCTTTCTCTTGCTCACCTTTCCCTCCTCAGCCCTGCAGCTGTAGTTGTCTGTCCCCCCTTTCTGTTTGTACCTTCTTGCTTCTTTATTAAGCTTTATTTTTGCAGCCGTAGACTGAGACTGGTACCTGCAGTTGGAGGAACAGAACTTTTTAACGGAGCAGCTCGAAATAGAAGGAGCTACTGTGTCCCTTTCTTCCCCTCCGTGGAGGTGTTTGAGTAGATGCTGCCACCTGCCAAGATTTGGAGGTGGGGGCTGGGAACTGGGTGTCTACCCCAGAGAGTGGGGGAGATAGCCCTTGAGGACTGTTCCCCTTTCCTGGGAATGCTGTGGTCCCTCCACAGCTGTTAGTGCCTCCACATTGTTTTGCAGTTTTCTCTGAATTTCAGGGCAGGAGTCCCCCAGCATCCATCCCACGTAAGGTCTCACTTCCTATGCTGCTATTTCTTTCTCCTCTAAATGCTTTATTAAAGGAAATTCCCTACTCACTTAGGTAATCCTGATCAGCCACTCTTCGGCTTGGCATATCCTGGCAGGCCTATTGGTGCTGAAGTGGGTTGAGTGGGTGGCTAGCAGGTTTTTGTTTTGTTTTGTTTTTTTGCATATGTCAGTGGAATTTGGACTTCACCTTTCTTTGTTCAGAGTGGAACGTTGAAAAGGATAAGGAAAACTTCAAAACCAAACCCAAACACAGAGATCCCACAGAATTGAGCTGGACCAGCTTTCAAATTTTACGGACGAGGCGTCAGACTTACAGGGAGGTTGTATGACTTTCTCCCGGAGTGGAACTGGGTAGAGGTGGGACCAGGGCTGAGAACCCTGAAAGGACTCCGGTGCTCTTTCCCGGATGCCTATCATGGCCAGGATGTTGCTTACATTAGTTCTCAGTGCCCCTGGGACCAATCACTTTTATTGCCAATCTATTTTGGGTCCCTGTCCTTGTGGTAATAAATCATTCTTTCAGAGCTCCACATTTAACCTTGCTAGAGTGTGTGTATGGGGGGGCACTTACATAAATGCATTATTTTTAACCTGCCTGGCATGCTTTTGGTTGGCGTTAAATGAATGTGTGGAGAACAAAGGTTTGTGGTTATTCTGAAGCCATCATGCTGGGTTTCTCTCTTATGAAGTCTTATTCTGGATGCCTTTCTGCTTTCCTAGGATCTGTGAAGAGAATTGAGTGTGTCACTTTGTGAGGGAGCAGCGTGCTTTTTTTTTTTTTTTTTTTAAATGCTTTGATATGATGGGTTCCTTATGGAGTACGAGCAAGCTTTTCTTCATATTTATGCTCTTAGTACCAGTTCAGTTGCAGGCTGCAGACTTGAGTTGCGTTCTGAAGCTTGGAAGCTGTGGCCGTTGAAGTTCTAAAACAGTGATTGTGTTCTGAAGTAGGTCCCTGGGACCCTCGACACTTTGAAAAGAAAAGCTGAAAAAAGAGTTCCATGTTAGTGAATGCTGGCCTCTCCTTCTGAGGTGGTGTACCTCCTGCTTTAGAGGGCTATAAGGAATCTAAAATGAATAAGTAAATCAATCCAGAAGTGACTTTCGAGAAATAACATGAGCAGTAAAATTATCACTGAGAACAGCTTTCCACTGAGACATCGCAAACTGGCTTATTGATGTGGGATATTGTATTTTTTTTCCCATTTGCAATTTAACTAAGATTCAAGTGACGATTTAGCTGAAACTATTTTAACCCTTTAAACTTTTCACCAAGATTTTTAAATGAAGTCAGTAATGATGTTCAAAGTGAAATGTGGCTTAATTATGATTTTTTTAAAAGTATGATTGAAAAATGCAACTAAGGTAGTTTTTTCAAAGCTCCCCCCACCCCTCCAAGGCAGGGTTTCCTCTGTGTAGCCTTGACTATCCTGGAACTTGCTCTATAGAACAGGTAGGTCTCAAACTCATAGAGATCCGCCTACCTCTGTCTCCTGATTGCTGGATTTAAGGCATGTGCCACCACCGCCCAGCTTTAAGAAGACTTTTTGAATGTTATGATGAATTTGGAATTTGTTCTTAATTGAAAGTAAGAGGTAATGTTTGACGTTATCAACTTAAATAAACTATAGCTGATATTTATTTTGCTAACTTACTTTACTCTGCACTGAGAAGATAAAATTTTAATCTCATATTCTTGGCAGAATTCCAGAGAAAAGTCAGATTCTTAATCAATAGCCACACTTACCTAGAAAAAAAAAAGTCACTTATGTTGATAGAAGTGAGCTCTTTTATACTATTGAAAGCAGCAACGGTGACCTTCATCATCCGTCATCAGTTCTACCATGGCGTGGTCTTTATTACCGTGAGTGCATTATCTTGACAGTAGCAGGCAGACAGGTCCTCGGTGGCCAGTGAAGTCAGCGTTTGGGTAGCAGCTCCACACCAGTGGAAGGGCTTTTCTGCTTGGGTGTTCTGTCCCTTGTTTCTGCTTCTCTGTTCTCTGCCCCCCACACGTGGTGAACTGACCGGTGATTGAGGGATCTGCCTGGAGCACAGGTGTGCCTCGTGTCTTCGCACGCACGCTTTATTTAATCTGACGGGGTGCAGCGGCCAGGAGGGGCCCACAGCTGGAGTAAGGTCCTCTGAGGAGCTGTTCGCCAGAACAGTAGACCAGGAATGAACGCGCGGATGGGAAACTTCCAGTGACCACTGGGGAGCTCGCCGCTGCTTTGCTTTGCAGCTGGAGCCGTTCTGGGATAGCCCATGCCTGTGTCTCTGAATTGATAAAAGCAGCCCAAGGCAGTGGGGGAAGGCTGTACCGGCCTGGGTGTGTGGCTCTCTCCTCTGCCTTCTGTCCCTGAGTCTTCCTGATCTCTGGCGTTAGATTTCTCCTTCCCCCAGAGAAATCTTGTCTTAACCAACACTCCACCAAACCCCAGCCAACCCGTACTTTACCTCAGCTCCCTGCCAGCTTGTAGAGACCAGTATCTCCAACACGGCTCTCCCAAGGTTGTGATGTATTAGGGGTCACGGGCAGACCTTCTTGTTTATAGGAAATCTCGCTCTTAACATTTATGGTTAGTGTGTAAATATTCAGTTTTAATTCTTAGTCAGTGGTAGAAACATTTAATTTCCCTCGTCGTTGTGTTTTGACCGTAATTTCCTCTTTCTATTCCCTATCCATGTAAGGAAGCCCCTTAAGATCCAGATCAGGCGCCTCCTGCCCTCTTGGGGTGAGGAGCTGGTGAGAGGCTCACTTGGGGTGGAGCTGCAGGAAGAGGATGGCCTCTTGAACTGTCTCTCTCTCTCCCGAGACTTTGCCCCCTGTGGAGTGGTTAGTCCTATGGCACATGTGCTGTGGGGGCCAAAGATCTGTTGTTGATAAATGTACTTGACTTTGAGATCACTAGCCACATGGCTGCGATTCTCTTGGGAGGGGATTGCAACGTCACCTATAGACAAGTGTGAAGTATTAAGTCCATCACCCCATTTGGGTGTTTCCTGGGGAAATAAAAATCCCTTCCTGGGTTTGCACGAGAAGGGTGGCTCGGGAGAAGTGTCTGGCATGTCAGCAATAAGTAAGGTCTGCTACTTAAAGCACAGGTCACTTGGCTTTCAGTGCTGACAGTTAGCATTTCCGATGCTCTAAGTGTTCCCTCTCGGGTGGCCTTGGCTGCTGGGCAGAACAGGCAGAGTAGCGCAAGCCGCAGGGTCTGCAGAGCCCCAGCACTCCTGGCATTGAAGGCGGCTTTCTAGGGATGAATGGTGCTCTCAGAGACAGGCCGTCCTGCTCCACTGTCCATAGCATCCCTGTGTTTGCTAACTTTGCAGCTACCCACTTCTCGTTCTGAGGAGTGAGTGAATTGTTAGTGTGTCCATATCTCCCCCACAGAAGGCCTGTAACCATAAAGTAAACAACTGTTCCTGAACTTGGAAATATCATTCATTCACATGTGCAGTTCTCATGTAAAGGACAATCTCCGATATTTTTAGATAAGAGTTTTGGGTACTTTTTTCTTTCTTGGTTTCCATCTTTATTTTGTTCCGCTTCCTCTTCTTACACTGACCCCATAATACCTTTCAATTTATTCATTTTTCTGTCTCTTTCTCTCTCTCTCTCTCTGTGACACACACACACACACACACACACACACACACACACACACACACACAGAGAGAGAGAGAGAGAGAGAGAGAGAGAGAGAGAGAGAGGAGAATTTGACTCAAAAGCATACCTGTTATTCTGAATCTACCACACAAGAGCCGTTTAACGCCAGCCCAGCCCTCCAGGAAAAGCTGCTAGTCTGTTAGTATTCTCTCTTCCACGGGCCACTCAGTGCTCTGATTTGTCAGGTCCTGTGTAAGATTATCTTTTTTTTTTTTTTTTTTTGACTAAAATCTCCTCTTCAGCATTCGGTTGGTGCAGTTTTGGGTTACAGATGAGCCTGTCAGCTTCTGAGGGTGAATGGCCTGCCCCATTTCCCTCTATAAAGACACCTGTTCCCTTTATTTTCCTAACAGAGGGAGAGAGTAAAATGACCACTGTATGCAGCATCCTGCAGAGTCTGGATTATCATTTTAAAATTTAATACGTAGGCTTTCTCGATCCCCGGCCATCTTGGTGGCTGGTCTTGGTTGGGGGCTGTCCCGCACCTAAGGCAGGAAGATGGTGGCCACAAAGAAAACGAAAAAGTCTCTGGAGTTGATCAACTCTAGGCTCCAGCTTGTTATGAAAAGTGGAAAGTACATGCTGGGGTACAAACAAACTCTGAAGATGATTGGACAGGGCAAAGCGAAATTGGTTATCCTCGCCAACAACTGTCCAGTCTTGAGGAAATCTGAAATAGAATACTATGCTGTGTTGGCTAAAACTGCTGTCCATCACTACAGTGGCAATAACATTGAATTGGACACAGCATATGGAAAATACTACAGAGTATGCACACTGGCTCTCATTGACCCAGGTTATTCTGATATTAGAAGCATGCCAGAACAGACTAGACTGGTGAAAAGTAAACCAGGAAATTTCCCTTTAATAAAACTTTACCAGAGCTCCTTTAAAAAAAAAAAAAATACATAGATCCTTGGTTGTTGATGGTCAAAGCTATAATTTAGCAGTGCAGTACCAAATAAAAGTTGAGTGAAAGATTTCAGTATATAGCAAGCATTTCCCTGTGCTTGTTTGGGCTCTGTAATTTAGTTTCTGCTTCTTTTTTCTTACCTAATTCCAAGAGGTGCTGCTTTTCTACAGATAACACAAGTAGCCGCAGATATCCAAGTGAGGTGTGATGGCCCCATTGTTTTATTCAACTCACATCTGTTGCAGACTACAGGGAAGTCTTGATTGAAGTGTGGTTCCCATGTCTTTGGCTGTCTGGACTTGGATCTAAGTGCTGGGAAATGTCTGTGGCTTTAAATGCAGTGTTCGAAGGGTGGGAAGGGCAGGGCGAGCCAGCCAGGGATGTTCCCTGGGCCATCACCACGTTATACATTATAATGAGCCCTCGGCTTCCTGTCCAACTTAGGAAGAGAACAAGCAGGCATGAGGCGGACAGAGGCCTGGGAGCTTCCTTTGGAGAGGCTGGTTTCCTAAGTGACTGTGGGTATCCTGGCTTGTCTGTGTAGAGCTGTTTTGTTGTCCACTCTTCCTTTGCTGTTTCTCATGTATAAGCAGACTCTCTTGAGATACAGTGGTCGGGAGGAGGCTCGTTTCTCCCATCTCTTTAGTGAGGCAATTCTTGGGCATTTGTTTTGGGCTCCACTATTTGTGAGGTTGGTGTTCATCAGCCTCACTTTTTCTGGTCTCCTCATAGTTGATAGACAGCATGATCTATCTTATGGGATTTTCAAAAATTTTCAGTTTTACTTTTTAGCATTTAACAATTTCCAGAATTAAGAGAACAGAATTGAGCTGATGTTTAGTGTGAAATTATGGGTTACTTTGACCCATTATTACAGTAAGTCTTTTATTTCAAAGTAACAAAGGTAATACAAAGGGCAGGTCCACATCAGCTTAATTGAATTGTAGCTTCATTGTTACTTTTGCCTGTTCAGGATGTTTAGTTGGCTGTGTCTTCACTGTTAATTACATTTAAAGTTACAGTTACTTGGAAGGGGAAGAAACCATTTTGAGAAGTCAGAACTCATACTCGGCAAAGAAGAGCTTTATTCTGATTTCCTGCTTGTTACCATTTCATTGTTTGCCTTGTCTGTCTCTGTGTGGATTTAGATACATTGTTTATGTACTGTTTTGATTCTGAACCATTTGAGAGTAAGTGGCAGATGTGGTAATGATGCCCATTGCCTCTGAATCAGTGGTTCTCAACTTGTGGGGTAGCACCTAGCTCACATATCAGATATTTACATTACCATTCATAACAGTAGCAAAATTACAGTTATGAGTAGCAATGAAATGATTTTATGGTTGGGGGTCACCACAACATGAGAAGCTGTATTAAAGGGTCACAGCATTAGGAATGTTGAGAACCACTGCTCTAAATGGTTCTGTATTTGTTTCTAAGAACAAGAAAATGTCCTGATGTAGTGATGAAGATCAGGAAATTATTGTTACTACTTTTTTTGAGACAGTATTTCATTAAGTAATCTGGCTAGTCCTTGAACTTGTGATCTTCTTGATTTGCCCTTCTTGGTGCTGGGATTATGGGTCTGTAGCACTGTATTTTGTGAGTACAATAACATCACATAAATCTACCAACTTAATAAAATTCTATTTGTTCCAGAAATGCCCTTTTAACAATTAAGAAAAAAATAATGGTCCATGATCATTTTAGGGCCACGTATTACATTTAGTTTTTATAGCTCCATGGATGCCATTATTGAGACCGTCTCCTTAGTTTGTCTTCTCTGATACCTTGATGTTATTGAATGTTTGTAGTGATGACCGTCTGTCAGTTGAGATGTACTTATTAGATTCCAGCCAAGGGGTTTTTGTCAGGAGGGCTTCCTATAACACATGTCTAGGAGTAATCCCACTGCACCCAGCTGCCCCCTGCATCCAGTTGCCTCACTGTCATCCAGCTGCCCGCACATCAGCTGCCTCACTGCCATGCAGCTTTTCCCCTGCATCCAGCTGTTTTACTGCATCCAGCTTCCCCTTGCCATCCAGCTTGCTCATTGCATCCAGTTACTCCACTGTATCTAGCATGTCCCTTGCATCCATCTGCTTCACTGCCATCCAGCTGCTTCACTGCATCTAGCTTCTCCTCTGCATCCAGCTGCCTCCCTGCCCTCCAGCTGCCTCCCTGCTCTCCAGCTGCTTCACTGCACCCAGCTTCTCCTCTGCATCCAGC